AAAAAATCCGCATATATGAAAATTTATTATTGATGTTTATTATTTTTGATGATCAACCATTGTGACCAACCCCAATTATTCATGATAAATTATCAAATGATTAAAGCAAAAGAAGTTCTCTTACATCAGATATTTTATTACAAATAATCATTTTGCTAATATTAAATCACACATTACTAAAATAGTAATGATGACCCTTCACATAATGAAATATCACGTGAGGCCGACTTACCATGCATGATTCATTTAATTATACTTGGGTAAGTGATTGACTGAATTGGCGCTTATTATTATCGTAACTTTATATAGATCAACTGACTTATTGAATTTTTTTAAATAGTAAAAATTGAGTTTACATATGGGGCATGCTGCAACAAAACCAGACAAAGTGAGCATTGGCATTACCAAGAATTTCAGGGATCAACATTTGAATTGCGGCACGCGTAACAATAAATTTCACTATATAATCAAGGGAAATATCACATGACTATTAGTAAAAAAAAGGATTGTTTAAATCCGTTGTGACAAGAAATCCGCTATGATGTTAATTAGTAAGGAAATTGAAATCTATGAAAATATTTAATTTTTATATGTTGATAAAGCAATTAAAACTTTATTATTCTTATTAAGATCAAGAAAAGCTTAAAATATGGTAATATACTGTATGTGTATATAATTTCATTTCTAAATTTTTGATTATTTTATATTACTCACATTAAATGGTGATAGCATCTAAAAAATCCGGCAATGGCTTTAAACTAGGATCTGGAAAATGTAACCAATCTTGTACTTTCATTTTGTCTTCTTCTGGTGTATTGATCATAATTTTTTTCCTAAACTCCTTTTGTTCAAAGATTTCATTTTTTAGAATTTGAAAAAAATTAAAGATTTTCAAAAAGTACACTATCGAATCTAAAGAAAATGGAATTATGCAAGATGCAAGTTCCACAGCCAAATATTTCCTTCTATCAAATAGTGAAACCGAAAAAAGTGTTAATCTATCCCCAATTACTTGTATACTAAATGATTTGATTTTTTTTGCATCTTCAATCTTGCAATTAAGATCATTTCCAAATATGCAGCACAAATTACAGACTGCCATCATCAACAATTTTTTTATATCTCCTACTGTATGTGATTCTTGTGGATTATAAGGTGGACCGGAAACCTCAACATCCACAATCTCTTTGCCATCTACCAAATGGGTGACAAGAAGGCCAGTCTTTCTTAATCTAGCTTGCGTCATAAACATTTTATTGGCAATCTTAATTGAATCCACTTCTTTTTCAATCCAATCGTACTTGACTTCCGGAAATGCATTTCTGAATGACTTGAATATCGGAGACAAACATTCTACAATAAATGTTCGCTCAGAGATTTCACGATCAAAAATTTTTGGATTTCTATATTCGAAATTCGACGTAAAGGCTAACAAAGAATGTTTAATAAAAAAAAGAAATCTTCCGGTTTCTGATTGATCGCTATAGTGTGTTGTTGTTTCCGATATTATTTTTGATTCAATGACACTAGGATCTGCATCAAATATGGATTCCAACTTCTTTACAATACTGTTATCTAAAATTAAATTTTCAGTCTTTCCTATTAATTGTTTGATTTCTTGATAATCATTGACGCTAACTGATTTCTTGATATAATTGATGGTGGAATGAAATGCACAAATAATGTATGCCGACGAATACTGATCATACATATGTTTGGAAATTATCGGTTTATTTGGTGTGAAAATCAAAGGGCTTTCTGGCGTATCTTTTTCGATATTATTGATAGTAGGAATTTGTGTGAATTGCTATTGGTCAAAAATTTATGAAAGTTAGAAACTGATAGCATTGATAAAACTTGATAAAAAATCTGGATTATAAAATATAACAATACATACTGTATCATTGATTGCTATTTCATCCTTCATGAAATGGTTTTTAGTGACTAGAATCAGACATGAATTGCAAGTATAAAATCAACACAAAGAGGCTTACCCTAGACCTTTTATGATTTTCATCTCCACACTGGAGATCTAATGTTCTTTTTTGACTTCGTCGTACATTGTTTTCCTTATCAGCCTTTGGTTAGAATTTTCAAGGATTAAATTGTAATGCAAAAGTAAGCTACGTTCACAACATATGACAAACAATGAATGAGCTTACAGAATAAACTTATTAAAAATAAAGATACTTACTGGTTGTATATTATTAATATCCGGGTTTAATGCAGAATCTGAAACATATATTACAAAGTCAAACGAAATGTATGAGCTGTGTTATAAAATACTTACGAAGTATATAACATTTACTTACCTTCAGAAATACAATTAGAGCTGTCAACTTCGTGTACATTACTGTCTTCTAAATATTTATTCTCCATAATATGCTTCATAGGTATTCTTTTCTCTTTAACTAACGGTTTCTTGAATCCATTTCCCAACATTCCTTCTTCCTAGAAGACAAAATAAATTCAAAAAGTTAACAAATTAATTCCATCAAAAAGATCAATTTATTATAAGGCCTACCATATGCAATTGTCTTTCATGATTTATTTTTAGTTTTTTTTTGTTGAAGATCCCAGAAATGTTAACAATAAAGCAGAAGATTCATTAATTAATTTTCATTACTAAATCGCTCAATATTGAGTACAACTACGCATAATCGAGCACCACTGACAAACACTTACCCAGACACCGCCTCGCCATGCTCGTCTCCGTTTTTTCTTCTGTTATATTTTCTCTTCATTGTAAAAATAAAAATTAGTTAAAAAAAAAAAAAAAAAGAAACACGTAAAACAAAATAAATTATTGTTATTGGCACTTGGTGTCGCACAAGGATTTTTTTCGAATTGATTTTTTTTTAGAAAAACAATCTTATTTTTGACAAAGGCGAGGAAACATGAGTGTTGTTGTTTGGTTCTGAAGACGTGTTAATAACTAACCAGAGGTACTATTTTTTATTTGTATTGATATATATATTTTTACTATTTTTTTTTTGTATTGATGTGTCTTTTATTTTATAAATATTTTTATTGGAATCAAAACGCGGAACAGAGCTTGCTGGGTAATTATAAGATGAACAAACGATTGGTATTTTACTTTGCATAATCGTTAATAATATTACTATAATTTAACTACAAGATGTCAAGGCAGTACACCATTGAAAAAGAAACATTTCGATATGTGGTGTTTGATTATTGGAAATTAGCAGACGTTGAAGCACGCACGCTACCTTGAACACTTTACAGTCATTCACATGTCTTTCTCGTGTACACAAGGCTAATCTGACCAGCGACGCCCTATGGATATGATGCAACTGAATTTCAGGGGGGAGGCGCATGGCCCTGGAGTTTACCGAGTCTGCATCAATTGTCAATGACACTTGATAATCTTCCCAAACCAGAGAAGGCTGCTGGCATGTTAGCCAAAAAGTTGCCTGCAACAATCCTACCTCTAGGGTAAGGGTGGCTCTGTAACCAGGTCGCAACTCTGGAGGAATATTAAAAGAATCTGCAACTCGTTTCAAGCACAGGAAGTTACAATTCAGGGTGGGGTTGGTGACCCTGAAATTGCATTTGGGCTCTGATGTTAAGAGGAAAGTTGTAAAATAGTGTTTGTTTGTATAATTATTTTCATTAATTCTCTGTTTCTTTGATACTAACCAATTTATAATTTTGGGGGGATTGAATGGAGGTTTGCCCAATCAGTCCCCTGTCCTATAGATTAAAATTATTACATGATTATATATATCTTTGCCAGCAATATGGCCAACAAGAAAAAAGTTATAAAATGGTTCGGATTTTGTTTGGTATGTTATACATAAATTAATCATTTTCATAAATTCTCTGCCCTTTAAATTTTTGTTTGACCAACTGAATTTGTTATTTAATTGGGTTAGGGTTGTTGGTGAGACCAACAAGACAGCAACCCAGTGACAGCCAGCCTGGTCTGAGAGGAAGATAAAGAAAAATTTTGTCCAAAGCCTTCCAACTTGTTCAAGTCACTTTCACCTGTGGAATAAAATTCTATGGTGCTGAATTGTGCTTGATTGCATAGCGCTTGCTTGTTTGTGACAGGAAAATTTAATTAAATCTGACACCTGCAATCAACATCAGATTTATTATTCATAAGGAACCATAATTGACAATCAGGAAAAATAAATTATTATTGTGAACCCCAGAGATCTGGGTACACACACATTGTTAAAATTTTCATTTTTGCACGGCCTTGGTATCATTACTACTTGGGTGATGCAATTGTTTGTTATGTCAATGATGATATCAATGTATTTAATAAACATTGTGATTTAGTGTAGCATATGTAAAATGCATCATTCATGTTCAAAGGAAAAGTTAAAAAAGTTTTTTTTTTCTCTCTCTTTTTGATTCAAATAAAATATAGAAAAATAAATAATTATTTAAATAATTCTTTTATAAATTGTTATTGATGAAAATAAAGTATTAAAAATATTTATTAATTGTTTACCTTCTTAAATATTTTGTTCT